GGGGGGGGGGGGGGGGCTGCAGCCGCCCCAAAATTTGCCGTAGCCCCCCAACCCCCACTCCAAGCACCACTGCCCCCACTGTCAAAAGCCCGGCCCCAGCCCACAACTGCAGCCCGTCACACCCTGTGCCGAGCAGGGCACATGCCCCCTATGCCCTCCCAGGATGTGCACAGTAGTGGGAGCCACCTTCCTCCCCATGCCCCCCGGATTAGCCACTTGCAGCTCTGTTCTGCACCCCGCCCCCGCTGGGTAGTGCCTGCCCTAGCCCCACTCCCTCCCTCACCACAGGGGCCTCGATCTGCCCCCATACACTCCTTCCCTTTCCCCTCCTCTCCCACCACACCAGATTTACCAGCTGGACGCAGCTCTCCATGCTGCCAGGCTGGCTCCTTGCGCCTACGTGCTGCGTGTGGCTGTGTGCATGCATGGGCCATTTATCCGCCAAATTATTGGCCACAACATGCCAATTTCCAATACAGTCAATTTTCTTTATATTGGTGCCAATCCAACATTGGACCAATGTATCGGTGTACCTCTAGCCATAAGTTAGACTGACCCTCCCAACCCAAAAGATGTTTGCTGTCGGGTTGGGAGACTGTGGGAAATCAAGCTTCAATTTAAAGCTGATCCAGGCAATGAGATGCATGTGTGCAGCTTCACTTCCCTAGCCCTGACCCCCTTCCTAGCTCTGGTGCTGTCTGCACAATGGGAGTAGGGAAAAGGGAGGGGAGGACAGGTGGACTGGAGACTCCTGAAGGCACGGGGCTCCAATCCACCTTCCCCCTGTCCAACTCAGGCTGGACAATCCCAGCCTGAACTCCCTCGCCTACCTTCTGCCCCCTCCCATCATGCAGACAGCACCGGGTGTAGGGATAGGCTTCATCAGCCCAGCCCTAATCAGACAGAAGTTAATGTAGGTGCTCTGCTTCAGACCGCTTTCCTTCATGTAATGAGGGTTAATTTGTCATGCGATTCGGCACTATTAAAGCACTCTGAAGCCCATGCACTTCTGTCAGAGCACAGCTATAGAGCACTTTCAAGGGGCTGATTGAACAATTGTTACTTCTGTCTGTGTCATGTGTGCCTACAGGGATGGGTTGTGGCTGAATGGCAGCTTTGAGGACCTCAGTTTAGGTTTCAAATGCCTACAGAAGTAATTACGTGGCACACAGACTCCTAAGCCCTTTAGTGGATCTAGTACTTTGTCTCTCAAATGTGTTTCATGAGGTTTTATCACCAGGATTTTTTTAGTTGCTTTTAGTTTTGTTTTTAAACACAAATAACCTATGAATACTGTACAAGAGATGCAGATTTTAGAGACAGAATTAAACTGTTCTATATCTCCCTTACAGTTGCCAAATTACCAAGATCCCTAAGGATGGGAAAGTACATCTTCTTTAATGATAACTCAGTTACCACAGTACTACCCATGCCATATCTTTTTGACCATGCAGAAATGTTCAGGTATCAAAAGGCATACTAAACCCAGTGGTGTGAGCTTGTAATAAAACCACAGAGTCAGGATTTGAGTTTTGTTCTTACCACTGATTCATATGACTGCAGCTGTCAAACTCTTTATGCCCTAGTTTTCTAATATATAAAATGGGAACACCACCCACTATACAGGAAGGCTGTGAAGTCTAATCAGTTTTTGTAAATGCTGAAACACAAAATGCTATTATTAAAACCTAACAGCTACCATAAATTCAAGTGAATACATTTTGGGAGAGTCATCACCCTAATACATACCTTCCTGTTTGCTGCACTGTGAAATCCTACCTGCATTTTGTAAAGTAGCTCCAGAGCACTCAAAGACAGTGATTTGCTTCCCATTCCAGAATACCACAGCATCCTAAAATGGCCACAAAGTTGCAAAGCAGGTGTCAGTTCAGTGTCCATTGGAAATGTGAAAGAAGTTCCTCAATAATTTAAAACTAAACTTCACAAACACTTGACCCTGACAGTTTAAATAAAGATGATTTTGCCCTGAGCAGGCAGTTGGACTAGATGATCTCTCGAGGCCCCTTGCAGGCCTATTTTTCTATTTTTCTAATTCTACTGCTGCTGCTAAAGTACTTTTAATATGGAATCCCATGTAGACTCTATGGCACAAGTTTCTGTGAATGAGCAAACAGCAATACAATGAACACTGCCCCACAACTACTACCTTACAAATTTCTATCTGTATTTACTGGGTTTGGAGGTCTCTGGGTCATCCAAATGCTTAGACGTAATAACCAGGGACCTCCTGACAAATGGTACTACCTGTAAATCAGGCCCAATATAGTGTACCCATTGTAACAGAGATGCTGTTTTCCATCAACACATAAGCAATTCCTAAGCAATTATAGTACAAGGAGAATCACAAGAGAGTTACATAAATGACTGTGAAAAATATGCTTCCATTTATAAAACAACTTCATAACGTTAACTAGATGAATCTCTGTCAAGAGAAGACCTTTCTCTAACAGGTGAGGTAGCAAGTTACCTTGGTGGCAAAAACTCCATTAATGTGCATGTCAAGGGCAAGGCTGTGTGTGCTTCCTGTGCTGAAGAAGGTCACATTAAATAGACTTGGGGACACTTGAACTGCCGCCACTTGCTGATGGAAATGAGATGACATGGCCTGTTCACTGAGGATCACCACAGAGCTGTTGTTATTCACTGCCAGCAGATTCTTTTTGGAGCCCCACTACCCAAAATGGAAAGAGCAAGACAAAACCAACCCAATTTAACAGAAAGCTTGAAAAACAGCAATAGAGTAAAAGCTTCAGTTACAGCTATTGTATATAGCATATACAAAGACAATCGCAATATGAAATCCTAGTTTCTGAACTCTGCCATATTCAAAAAGCTGGATCTTTAGTCCTCCCTTGCTATCACTACAAACCACATGTGTATTGCTTCAGTGTGTGTGGAGAAGCTTGTTTTAAACAACAGCTACTTTTCAGTCCCATAATCCACCATTACATTATCTTGTAGTCATTACTGTTAGAGAGCAATAATGTGCAGAAAAAGATTGCTCATATTTTGTTCCTGCAAATTTTGCCTCAAGACAAACCATTTCTTTAACTATTTGTCTTCTATTTGCATTTTTCTTGACATTTCACCCTCTTACTCCTAATCATCCCAATCAACTCTGCAGATCAGCTTCCCAAGCAATAGATGGGACCCAATGTGTCCAGAAATGAAGTAAGCTAAGAATATCTCTTCCTAACAACTCCCACCATACTCAGCCAATTCATTTAATCTGCTTCTAAGGGTTATTCCTCTTGCTCTTAATTTTTTAAGGCTGATCACACTGAAGTCTTCCATAAGCAGTACTTTGGGGGAGTCCTATAGAATTGAACAGAGGATGAAATAACTAGGATTCTATCAAACATCAATAGAATTTTATCAAAATTACTCCCAAAACCAATACAATGGAAATAAAGAATGGAAGCCTTCCTATTTTAAGCCACCGTTTCATAGTTTCATAGTTGGTAGGGTCGGAAGGGACCTGAGCAGGTCATCAAGTCCGACCCCCTGCCATGGGCAGGAAAGAATGCTGGGGTCAAACGATTCTGGCTAGGTGATTATCTAGCCTCCTACTGAAGACCCCCAGGGTAGGAGCGAGCACCACTTCCCTTGGAAGCTAGTTCCAGATCCTAGCTGCCCTGACTGTGAAGTAGTGCTTCCTGATGTCTAGCCTGAACCTACTGTCAGTCAACTTATGGCCGTTATATACCTGTAGCAAGTATCTGTCTCTTAAGTTATGTTGGATGACTACAAAAACTATATACAAATACTGTATATGACAGGTTTTGAATACAACATACCATAATGTCTTAAAAATTATTAAATTTAAACTGATTCCACAGGAGACATTACTCTGTCTCTGAGCCTTCTTTCTTTGACTAACTTCACTATGTAGTACAAGAGAATTTTTAAGTAGGGACTCAAGCCCAAGATCAGACTGCTCAGGACAATATTCATTAGCAGCACTCACAGCCAGTAATCTTGGGTGCCTTCTCAAGGAAGAGCCATTGTTCATACTTGCCCACCATTTTTCAAGCACTCTTCACACAGTCCTTAAACTCACTCAAGCAGAACATATGTCAGAAAAGCATTTATAATAAACTGGAGTTGTGTCAAATGCTCAGTTCTGGGATTGTACAGCTTCATTATGGCCTGCATTTACAGTTGGCCAAATTTGCTAACTGAAGGGCTTACTTGGAACAGTTATTTAAATATCATCTAAGTTTCTATAGCACACAGTATCAATGACTTGGTTAGATATGCATAAATGTTTTTTATATTAAAGAACCCCTACAGTCACCAGCCTCCTTGTAAAAGTGTATTACAAACATGTAACACAAAGACTGTCTCTGTCCTGAAGAGCTTACAATTTAAATAATAAACAAACCCACTTAAATGATGCAAGTATACAGAGTTTCCTGGCACAAGTTGCTATTTAACTTTGCTAAACTTTGGAATAGAAAATGATGGCAAATCAGGTATCTTCTAGGGCCACAAAACTGCCTCTAAATTGCTGTTTTAATCAACAAAGAAAACAAAACAGAGGCAGCCAAGTTAGGCAAGTATAACATTTTAGATCCTGTTTGTGAACAGCACTTCTGTAGAATATGCAAGGGCTGGCTCTAAGGTGGCTTGCTAACTCAATGTCATGTCTCTAGTTCTATTAATTAAGGCTATAAATAGTTTTCCACTGTGAGCCCATATAAAGGGAAAAAAGACAGCCTGCCTGAAGTCTCCCATTTTAGTTGCAGCAGAAGAGATTTTATTTCAGAATATTTGGAGGTGACGGGGCAAGGCATCTGTCCAATTTACAAAAGTTTTCCAATTACAGAGCTGTCTGGCATCCATTTAAACATTACTTGTCTAAAACACCTCACTCTAGATCAATTTATTCAGTATTTACAATATGAACTGGTGCTGTTGGTTATATTTGGAATGTTTAGTGGACTCATTTTGAGATTATTCACTACACTGCCTTGAAACATATGACAATTTCATGAATGCTCTTCAGAGATTACATAACCCTTGAACCCCCTACATGGGACCCATGTTAAGCTTATGAACTCTGCTATAGTAGGCATACTCACTGGGTTAGACAATCTGAAGTCTACCAGTATTGCTCTAGAAGGCAGCACTCTGGCACCCAAAAACTCTGTTCCTGCACAGACTACAGACTAAGTTCCTGAAACACGGTGAGGCTCTATGGCCCCTGAGGCCCTGTGGAACTTTTATAGTACTGAGTGAAAATTAATTTCCTGATCTTCAAGAGTTGGGGTTTTTTTAACCATAACTGAATTACAAATTATTTAGGGAGGTTCTAGGACAATAACATTCTAATGTAAAGGCCATCCAACATCTTGACAGATGAAAGGAGATGTGACAAAGTCAGTCAGTGGTGCCTCGCAGTGTTGTGGGAGAAGAACCTGATGCACGAGCAGCAAGCCTTCCCACAGTAGCTACAGCAACCTCGTCAGATGGAGGCTGAAGCCACACACTGCTTCCTTCTCACCTGGGGGCTTCAACCTGGGCTCTCTGATGGCTCTCCACAGTGACTGCACCGGCCTTGACCCAGCTTCTCCAAACTGAGCAGTTGTGGTCAGAGTTCTCCCAGTTGTCAGTGAGAATGCTGAATTTCTTGATACCTCGCTTGATCTTGTTGGAGTATCGGAACTTTGGCCTTTCTCTGTGTTGCAGGCAGTTCTTGAATTGGCCATAGATAGAGCGCAGCCTTTGGCAAATATTGAAGCATATGGTCCAAAGATCTTGTTATTGGTGATCTGTTGATCCCAAGTGACTCCAAAGGTGACAGTTGGTCAATCTCCGCTCCTGCTCGGAGTATGTGACCCAGCTTTCACAGCCATAAAGGAGGGTACTGAGGACACAAGCCTGATAGACACACCTTTGTGTTCAAGGTTAGCAGCTTATTATTCTAGACACAAGGTATCTTTGAGAAGGTGATAGAGGCTTTGCCGATTCTTGCATCAAGCTCTCTATCAAGGCTAAGTGAGCTGGTAAGAGTTGAGCTGAGATAAAATATTGATTTATGCTGTCCAGAGCTTCATTATTTATGTAGATTTTAGGTGGGATGTTGGTGCCCTGTGACATAACTGTTTTCTTGATACTGACTGTCATGCCAAACTCGGTGTATGTATCATAGAACTTGCTTATCATGATGTGCAATTCATCAGGTAAGTTGGAGATGAATGCAGCATCATCTGAGAAGAGCAGATCCTGAAGAGTAAGCTGGGTGACATGCCCTTTGCTTTAAAATCATCTGATGTTGAACAAGCTGCCATCCATCCTCGATTCAATTAGTACATCAGATAGATAATTTCCAAAAGCGTACCCGAGAAGGATAGAGAAGATGCCAAAGCCAGTAGGCATTAAAATGCAGTCTTGCTTCATGCCAGTATCAATGCTAAACTCAGATGATGTTTCATTTTCATACTGGATGGTTGCCTTCATTCTCTCATGGAACTCCTTGAATAGGGAAAACACCTT